TTTGATGAGTTCATGAAAGCACAAGGTTTTTTACGGAGCGTTTATGATCCTTGTGTCTACATGAAGAAGGTAAATGATGAGACGTTCAATCTCATCATTTTAGTGCTCTACGTTGACGACATGTTCATACTGGCAAAAAATCAATCCGATGTTGATGAATGCAAGAGTAAGTTGAAGTTTGCATTTAAGATGAAGGATATGGGGGAGTCAAAGAAAATATTAGGCATGGAGATCCATAGAGATCATGAACAGAAGAGATTATGGTTGAGTCAAGGCAAGTATGTCCGTCGTATACTTGACAGGTTCAACATGATTGTATCCAAACGAGTTTGGACTCCTTTGTAGTCACATTTCAAACTATCTGCAGCTCAATGTCCTACCGATGCTGTGGAAAAAGGAAATATGTCATGTGTTACCTATGAACAAGCCGTACGCAACCTCATGTATTTGATGGTGTGCACTAGGCCTGACATTGCTTTTGTGATGGGTAAGGTAAGTAGGTATATGTCAAATCCAGGGAAAATTCACTAGGAAGCAGTGAAATGGATTATGAGATTTTTGAAGAGTTCCTTGGATTATGGTTTATTGCTTGATGGTCTATTAGACAATGCCAAATCCTTGTTTGGTTACGTTGATGTTGACTACGGACAGTATCTAGGTAAAAGTAGATCTACAACTGGGTATGTGTTTACACTTGGCGGTGGAAGCATTAGTTGGAAATCTACCTTGCATAAATGCGTAGCTCAATCAACAACGGAAGCTGAATATGTGGTAGCAGCAAAGGAAGCTCTTTGGTTAGATAGGTTTATCATGGAAATGGGATTGAAGCAAGGTATTGTTAATTTTCATTGTGATAGCCAGAGCGCTTTACATTTGGTTGCAAACCAAGTCATGGATAGCAAAGTGAAGCACATCGACATCAGGCATCATTTTATCAGACAAAAAGTGTCCGATAAAACTATTGAGATAGTCAAGATTGACGGTAAACTCAATCCAGCTGATGCTTTGACCAAAGTTATTCCATTGGAGAGTTTCAGGCGACATTATGCTACCATGCAAGTTGTGCATGGGGAGCACATGTAGAATTTGCTAGCATAGTAGCTTGAGTTAACTCTTTATGTTATCACTCTATCCTGTTATGGCTACGGTCTAGTTCTAGTTAACTCTCGTGTAAAGAGTTGCCTTGAGTTAGATTTCTGTCTAGAACTTCCCGCTGAGTAATAATATAGGTCACAGAGGTTACTATTTGCTTAACACGAGTTAAGGGGGAGATTGTTGAGGTTAACTCCGGTTAAGATGTAACCTCAGGTTATAGCTATTTATAGCTAGATGTGTCGCTCGCTTTGGGTATAAATATACCCCCAAGGCCAAGGCTTCTTCGATGCAGTATTGTGTATTCAGTTTTAGTAAAGCTTCTCATGCACTTCAGCCGTGGACATAGCCTTAGAGGGTGAATCACATTATATGATTGTGTCTCGTGTTTCTTGAATGATTCCTCGTTTTTCGTTAAGATGTTGAAACTGTTTAATTCATTTCAATGAATTTAAATAAAAATATATATCATGTGATTTATATAAATCTATCGTGTGCAATATTCCAAAAGTTTTTAAAATTATAGTATTACTTTCTTGTACAATCAAATTTCTCTTGTTTAGAAATTCAAATTCTTGTGTTCATTCTTCTATGTTCAATGCATTTGTTAATACGAGTTGCTATTCAGAATATGGTACATAAATGAAACAAACAAAAATCTTGCATATGCATGTAATTTTAATATTCCAAGATACTTGAAGATGAATAGTTCAAAGATGTTTAAATGCTATCAAAGATATACAATGCTATTTTTTATAATTTGAGTACAACTTTCAAATTTGTAAATTGAAAAATGATTTTTTAATTTAATAATATAATTTTATTTATATCAAAATAAAATATAGGAAAATTTTCAATACACGTAATATTTTTCTTGAATATATTAAATCTAAATAATTAAAATTTTAATAAAATTAATATCAAAATTGACATTTTTATTACTGATTTTATTTATAATTTATGGAAACTTTGATGTAGATTCTATATTTTTTAAAATTCTAATTTTTTCAATCATATTAAACATGTTCAATATGTTTTACTGAAGAGAATTTACAAGGTTTTATAAATATGTTTTAAAATCAGTTATAAGTCTTCATTCTAAATCTTTTTTCACATTATTAAAAGCTGTATTTTGACTGTATAAGAAAAAATGTTGCATAAATGTTTAGCATTCTGTATTTATAGCTAGATTGAAACTTTTGTCACAAAAAATTTCTAAATATAAGTAATTGTCATATAAATAATGATTAAGTTAAACTTGAAATCAAGACTTTCATATGGTATGTACACTTATTATATTATTTTTATGCAACATTTTATACTTGTATTAGTGATCATCTTTATGAGTCATAATATATTTTTTGATATTTTTATTAAATTGATAAAATATAAATCTAAATAGCCAAAAATTATAGATATACAGTTCATTGTAATTCTATTATAAGAATAAGCATGTTTTCATGATATGTAAGTTTTGTTTAGATGATGAATATCAATTTTCGATTGATAACATTTATGATGCTGTTAAAAGTTTGAAAATTTAGTAAATAGTATTTCTACTGGAATGTATGTCTTTTCAGTAATAATTTGGTGTTAAATTCGTTATAGTCTTATAAATAAACTATTACTTTTATACATTTAATCACTTGTGCGTTATATTTTTCTTTCAATGTTTATGTGCAACGTTTTTTTGTAAATTACATTACATGCCTGTAACTTGGTACATACGAATTTTCCAAAAAAACACATTTTTATTAATTTTTAAAATGTCTAAACAGAAGACAGATAAAGAAGTGAGAGTGTATAATAATATTTTTTTATTTCCTTCTTAAAAAAATGAAATTGTGAATCTGTAGAAAAGCTAATAATTCCAGATTGTTTGTTGTGCAAATGACATGTAAGTTAATATCATATCGCATGTAATTCTAAACTCATTGAGTTTCATTCAGAATTCATTCTAAAAAGCTTATGTTGATGACATTAGACTTTTATTTTCATAGATCAAGAAGCCAATCTAGTAGAAGATATTCAAGTTGAAATTTGGAAACGCTATCATTCAACCTATTGAATTCATTGACCGATAAAATGAATTTAAATAATAATAATAATAATTGAATATATTTTTAATTTTATTATTCCAAGAAGTGAATTGTAATTTATTAACAAATTGTGTTTTCTTCATCATATAGTGATGTCGTTAAAATAATATTGTGAGTATTTGATTACTAGAGTTAGAATTTTATTTAGAATCTGTTTCACCCAATAGTTTCTATTCTCAGGTGTGATTAAGCATTAATATAAATTTTATAATAATTTGGTTGAAGATGATTAGAATAGAGGAAACCCTAGTAAACTCACGGAGCACATAACCGGTGTCAATCTAATGTTCTTCGAGCATACCACTCTATTCACAACAATGAAGACAATGAAATGCAACGTGTACTTTAGCTTATAGCAAATTTAGGTTTGAATGATAATTTTGAAGAATTTCCAAAAGAGAATGTTTGTTATGTTGTGGTTTTCGTTTTGAAGGATCATACGCTTGTTATGGACACTCGGTATGTTCATTGTGTCGAGTCTGACGTTCGTTTTTGATTGGATGACGTCCATAAGTCTTTGTCTGGGCTCGTACGTACTCTTCATTTCCTACGCCAATTTCTGTCTACGGTGAACCGCTTTCAGCGCCGGTATCAAGCGTAGCCTTGACATTGCACAAGGTCTTCGAAAAAGATATCGTCATGAATGTAGAACAAACAGTGTTCGCAGAGTTAAACGCTCAAGATCTGCGAGTCAGAGAGGGGGGAACAAGTCATCTTGTAAATGCTTTGGGCAGCTTCTTACCCAGTATGGTCGGTTACATGAATGTAATGAGGCATTGGAACCCTGAATCTCCGGTGGCATGATTATCCGGAGAGTTTACATCGTCCTTCGGCCGCGTTTGGTGTTCCTGTCAAGGTCTTCCAAAAGGTGTCCCGCGGTCTCCGAGAGGATATGCCAAATACGGCGTATCCTCTCGGAATTCTGCTAGGGAAAAACTTGGGGGCCGTCCCCAAACTCGTCCGTGGAAAGGGACCATTGCGGGTACACCATTGAAAGAAGAAAGTATTGTCTTGTTATAGTAATCCAGATTGTTACATCGGTAGGCCACCATAGACAGGGGAGAAAATTAATACAACAATAAGTGGTCGGTGGTTTATGGGGAACAGAAAAGAAACCAAAGCACGGGACGGGCCGAAGAACGAAGAACGAAGAGCCTTTACAGTAAGAAAGGATTTGATGGGGGGTACGGGTAACGGGATCCCGCGGTGTTGTAGGTAAGATCTGCCCGAAAAAGTCTTAGTGGTCGGTGGGCTAGAGTACAGCCGGACCTCCCTATCTGTTACGCCCATGAGTGATAATTATTCCTGCATGGTAACATATTGGCGTCCAAATTTAGGTAGGAAACAGGGGAAGGACGTCCTTTGGCGGCTGTGTCCGCACAGCGACAACAGGCTTTGGCGAGGAAATAAAGCTTGCAGACGATCGGTATCCTATCCTGCATCCGGGGATTTATTGTATGTTTCCTGCATCCAGGATTCTAGGGTTCAAGATTCGAAAACCAGGAGGAATTAGAGGGGTAACGGGTACAGGGTGTGGACTACATGGTGTTCTTTGAAAAGTTGTCGAAACCAAGTCCAGTGATGACCAGACCGAACCCTGTACACGCGGGAGTTTCGGCCGTGGGACCCGCGTCGCACTCCGTTGCCTGTTGTGAACGGAAGTTAATAACGCGGTCTTTCCTCCGTCAGAGGCACGGGCCTAGAACCACGTAGTACAGTGGTGTAGAGATGCGTAGACTACTAAGTTCTAGGCTCCTGCAATAGGGCAGGCGGCATGCAGTAGCAGCAGGGAAAGGAAGGACGAGGCAGGGGGGAGGGGTGAGGCAATGCAGGCAGGACAGAGCAGGCCCTCGGCTCTCGTCCTACGCTGCTGCGCGAACTTGCTTTTTCCTCTTGCCTTCGCTTTGGTCCCTCCCTCCTTCCTACCTCCCTACTCGTCGCCTATTCCGAGCAGAGCCAAGTCGGGGCCAGGCACTGTAGTAGGCTTCTAGCAGTGTGGCGATTGAGTTTGTGTCTGTCTGTCGATTGATTCAAAGAAATATCAGTGTGTATCCTCGTATCGTATCCTCCCCGGCCTTGCTTGGCTTGGGCTTCGCTTCGTCTCGCCTCGCCTCCCCCCCCCCCCCCTCCGTGCCGGATTTAGTTCCCAGTTGGTAATTTCAGACATCAAGAGAAAAAGGAAAGAATTCTACTCTGCTGCCATTACTACGAAAGCGGAAGAAGAAGACGAAGAAGCGCTCGAGAAAGAGGAAATACCAGGCAAGCCTCATTCGTTCGTCCCTTCAGAGAGAAGGAGAGAGAGGGAGGGAGAGAGCCAGCGATCATCAGCATCACGCAGTCTGTCCGAGCTCACACGGACAAGGCCAGCCGGCCCGGACGAACCACCAGACGAGAGAGAATCGGTGTCGTGAGGAATGATAAGTGGATGGTTTTAGAGGTTGCCGTTGATGTTCAAGCGGGAGGAAGAGGGCGAGGAAGACGAGGAAGGGGGATCCTTCAGTGACAAGGTTTGAATTCCCACGGTGTTCCTCCATGTTCGAAGCGAGGAGGGCGAGTATGGAGCAGGCGAGATGGCAGACGCTGGAGGCTGCCAATCGGGGCCTGATGGAGATTGAGCACAGTATGAGTGGAGGAGAGTTTTTTTCTTCTTATCTGGATAGTTTCAAAGCAGGCGGACAGGCGCAGTGCACGACAGTGTGGACGAAAACGACGATCGCCTATCGATGCCGGACATGTCAAGTGAATGATTCTAGGTGCATTTTCAAAAGGGGATCATATTTTTATATACTACCTGTCTAAGCCTCCAGCCGAGTGAAGTATCGCAGATGCTAAGCAAATCGTTTAGGTGCATTGAGGGATATTGGAGAGTGAGGAACGTGAGCTTCCAATCTGAACTCAACGAAAGCTGCGGGCAATCTTTCTATGTTCCACCTGGATTGAATTTCAGAAAATCAGATTATGCGGAGTCATGTTGCAAGAACCTCATTTCCGTTCTGTTTTTCCCAAAACCTTTGGCAATTATGTAGCCATACATCATTATAGAGCCATCCACCACCCGTGTTAAAAGCGAAGATTAGAGAACACAGGGAGAATCCTAGCCGGCAGAGAAGCAATCTAGTCCAGACAAAACCAGCAATCTAGTGGAATTCGTATTGAATTTTAGTCTAAAATCCTTGTTGATGCCTGTCAACCTTCAAGAAGCAATGTGCGAGGTTACTTTCTTCTCATCGCCCCAATTCGCGTTTGGATTTGAACAGTGACTGCGTCTCCCATCCTATAATAGCAGAGTGAGTTACATATGCAACATGCCAACCCTTTGGTTAGCATGTTGCAGGCTTAAGGTAGGTCGATAAAAGCCACTCGATAAACTTGTGGCAGGGAAGTTTTTGGCTGGCTGACGAGGAAACCGCAATTGTTGAAGGGAGTTCATTCTTGGAGAGGAAGGAAGGTCCTCGTGCAATTGTCTTCTCTAACTAGTGCCTGGTTCCGCGCAGCATTGTGATTGCCGACTTGCCCAGCGCTAGTGCTTGAAGGTTTCAAAAGTTGTCACACAGAGTGGACCTTCTTTTGTTTGGCGGACTTCTCCTATAAATCAATACTTAGAGAAGTTATAAAACTGCTCGTTGTACATATGAAGTTTTGTTTAGCTTAATTAGTACATAGTCATTGCAGCTTCACTGTGGGTGCAATATTATACCTTCGAGCTCGAGTCAGACCCAACTTAAGTTACGATAATACGCTGAGCATGCTTACGCCAGTAAAGTTCGTATGTACAGTGAGAGTTCTTTTCTCATGCTGCCAATACGTAGAAGTAACGTCGAAAACGTCAATGCAGTTTTAGTACTCATCCACCAGCCATTTTCTAATTTGTCAATCATCTTGTTCTGAGTACTGAGCCATAGTCGCGGGGTCGAGTTTTATCTTGAAGATGTCTAAGAAATCAGGCATTTGTTGTTCAGGAGCCAGTCCTCCTAGTTTACCTCAAAGTTGCCTTTGCTTCAACTGCTGGAGAGTCTTAATCAGTGTATCAAGTGCATCTCTCATTCTACGGGTGGAGCCTTGTGATAAGCCATGCTAGAGTTATCCTCCCGATTCAGCAGTGGATAAGCTCAGACATATGAGCCATATGCTTTGCTTTATGTTTGTTGGTGCATCCCAAATCTTCTGAACGCATGAGTCACCGGAGTACGTGAGATGCTGCACAAACTTGGATCATCTTGACGGTGCCTATCCCCAGATGGCAGACGAAGGAAAATCACATGTAGGAAGTAGGCCAGATAAGACAACCAAGAAATCAGAGAGTTCAACAGCTGCTTCTTTACTCAACTCATGTGATCCGGAAATACGAGGAGTATGAGACAAATGAAATGTTTGCCATGTACTTCAACTGAGTTTTGTAGATATTTGTCTTTGTCGCCCTGAACATGCATTCACCAATCTGCTCTTTTTACTGTCCGCATATTCTGGAACACACCTCAAAACACGTTATTTGTAGCATACATGCTAGTTCGATGCCCAGTTTGGAAGAGTTCTCCTCATCTTGTTTTGCTTTCTGTAGTACATAGGAGAGAAGTCTTATTTCTATACAGTAGTTGTCTAGTCTTTGCTACAGTTCGCACATGAGGACCCTCATGTCCCTCTTTTTCTACGTCTTGTTGAGGAGTTTGTCTTTCAGTGCATATTTAGTTGTATGATTTAAAGTATGCTAACTGCTTTTTATTTCTACTGTTAGCAGTGCTATCTGTGTGAGCTGCTTCCAGGCTGGTGATCATCGCCATCATGATTATGGTATGTCGCCCTTTTAAAAATAGGCACATCATTAGTAACTTATGCAGGCCTCTTCATGTTTGTTTAAATATTTTTTATATGGTTCTCTTTGTCTTCTTTTTTTCTTTCCTTTTTGTACCAAATAGTGGACAGATTCGCTAAGTTTACTTAGAGGCGAATACCATGTCGAAACATAGCGGGTTTAAGTGGGACAAGGCTTGGCTGCCGGGTACAGTCTCTAGCTTTTTCTTGGTCGCTAAAGTATAGGTGATGTAGTGTCTAATCCTCAAATTGATACATGGGCCTCCATTTAGATCAATATGTCTTATGAGTCATAACCGAATATACAAGAACCCCCGGTTGTTGCTAATACTTGTGGTCTTGTCTGCAGTCATGTACCATAGTGATTCAGGTGGCTGTTGTGATTGTGGAGATCCTGCTGCTTGGAAAGAAGAAGGGTATGTTGAACGTTGTTGAACGACTGCGAGAGATCTAGAACGATTGAAGTCTTTGATATTCAGCAGTCTTGTATACTAGAGAAGATTAATTATTTGAAAGTTTAGATAATTATGAGGCAGGTTTTCATTCTGTTTCGCCCATATAGGAATGAAGGTCCATGCTTCTTTAGAACTGATCTTCTTCTGTAGCATTGTAGCCATGATCTCTCATTAATGAAGTTATTTGCCTGATCAGATTTTGTAGTGTTCACCGGAGCTCCAGTTTACACAAAGAGCTTACAATTCCCGCCCATCTCAACGAGGTCACAAGTAAAGCAGGTGACATCCTGTCTCTGATTCTAGCATTCAGTATATCAATGTGAGGTCTCTTAAAGAGATTCTTTGAGATCTATTGAACCAGGTCTGCTCTGCTAATTAAGCTAATCTGACTATTGAGCAAATTAGTAAATAAGTGGCTACCTTTTGCGAAAAGAATGTTAGGAACTTCTTAGCAGAAGATACTTATTCATCATATTCATCATGTAAATATCGTTCTTCTTGTACTGGTTGCAGTTGAGCTCGTCCTGAAAGAGCTCTGTATCTGGGTGGAGATAATTATGGATGCAAAAATCTCAGACAGGTCCTATCAAAGTTCTCCATTCAAAGTAACGATGGCTGAGGTTTACGTTAAGTGGTTACAAAAGGTGAGCAGCGTATGTCTTTACGAGAAAGAATCAATTCTTTTCTGTAATTTACTTGTTAGTAGATTCTTATGCTTGAAATTCTATCTTCCTCTGTGTTGGCCTCTTTGACACATTTCATTTTTCAGTTTTGATAAGCTCCCTGTACCACTTGTGGCAGATATGCTCAGTTGCTGCACTACGCAACATTGTGGTTGTAGAGATAACCAGTGTACATTCTGATGTGGCCTCCATGTTACGAAACGATGTAAGTCTTGTTAGTTTTTGGAATATATACGCACTTCAGTATTTTAGCAAGCATCTTGCTGCACAGACACTGTTGAACTTATACTAGATATCGCATGGCAATTGAGCTGGCTGTGTCGAAATAAGAGAACAACTATTTTTGTTCAAACGATGGGAACAATAGGGATCGGAATTTTATAAAAAGATGTACTTTTTTGAATTGTGGTGGGCTTACGCGACTATGTGAGGGCATCAAGTCATTTTCTGGACGCTTATAGCTCTTAAGTTATAAGTTGCAGATCTCTCCTTGAAAAAGCTACCGGTCTGGTATCATGCCGTGCTAATCTGTTTAATATTGTGACAGAGAACACGCAATCGCTCTTTTTTGGAAATCTTATTGTCAACATATGGCAGAATGCCGGATAGTCTGATGGAAGCTGTAAGGTTCCTCATCTTTCAGACCTTCATCCTCCCTCAGGCCTGCTCTGACACCTGGGAGATAAAGAGGACCATGTGTGGAAATGTAAAATTTGCAGTTGGTGTCTTTGCGTCTTAAATTTCTTTCTACTCTAGTGTTTTGTCTCTCTTTTTCGTAAGTAGTATGTGAAGATTCTCGTCTGGTGTCAATGTTGTTTTTCGTTCTAATTTGGGTCAAGAGCTCGTTTGAAATAATTTACTTAATGAAGGAATCAACTGCATGCATCCATTGGTTGTTCATTCCCTTTTACCTGATTTACACAGTACACTGTACTACTGCTGTTACTAGTTACAGCTCTTTAATGTACACGTTGGATTTGTTAATGTAGGAAACGACCTTATTTTTGCAAATGCTCTATGATCAACAATTCAAAGACACATTTTCTCGGGCATTGATGAGGCATTATTCTGGTTTGATAGAACCAGCTGCTATCACTCCCAAACTGCTGGGAGAATACAAAGCTCTTGATCAGAGTTTAGACAGAGGTGCAAATTTGCTGATTCGCTTTCATAGGTCTGTCATTAATTTGAAGATGTTTCGTGGATTTTAGGGTTCTGCGACGCCCAAGTGAATACTCTTTTGTACAAATGCATGTACTGCTTGACCTCTCTTTGTACCACAGATCTATATTGAGGTGTTAATATTCATCGTGACGTATGCTGCAGTTATGGTGCAACTTTTTAATGTACCAGAGATCACGTTAAATCTCATACAGACAGATCGGCTCCTTGAAAGCTTCACATCTGTGTTGGGTTCAGTTCTTAGCCATTGTACTAGCAGGTAACGATATCTCAGCTTTACCTGTAGTCTAAAGAGTAACTTTGTATGCTTCATCCAGGAACATCTCACGTTTTCAATATACTGCAGCCCTATCTATGATAATTATGATTTCATCTTTTTGGTTGCTTCTTTGTCATATGTACAGAAGGGATGGCACTATCGATGTCGATCATCATGCCATTAAAGGGAAGGTTGGTACAATTAAGCCCAAATTATGCACCTTGAAGTTGTGTCAGTTTGTTAGCTCCACTGAAGTCTTTATAGGACAAACAAGAAACTTAGATAGGCAGTATTAGACTTTCATGACGAGTTTAGTATTCTAAAAGCCTTTCTCTGATGTTAAGCTACCGCACACTGTATGTGATGACCATTTTTTAAGCAGTATGAGACGAGAAATTTAGTTGGAATTTCTTGATTGTTAGACGTAGCATGTTTTACATCTTGCCTAGAATTTTGTAGCAATTGATTTTTTCAGATTTGATTGATTCATTGCTTGTGGTGGCAAGGGTTGTGTGGCAGGTTTACGGGCGACCTCAAGGGGACTTGAAATTGATAGTTGCACATGAATCGGTTGCATTTCATGTTTTAAAAGAGCGACCTGACGTTTTCCGAAACATTCTATCTACGTTGTCCTTACTACAGGTTTTACTGTCTTGCCTCCCCGTGGACTCACTCTCTTTTTTGTGAAAGTGAAACTATGTATGTGGTTGGTTTAATATATAGCATAGAATTGGAATGAGGAATCTGAATCTGTTCATCTCTGTGTCCAGTTTATGTCTATTGGTTGGATGTAAGCTTTTTGTTTTAATCTTTGAGGCAGCTTCGTCAGCTGTGCCTTGTCCTCTCCCTAGTAGAATGATTGCATCAATATTCGTAGTATAGCTAAAATATGGCAATGTTATATCTCAAAGGGAATATGTATTTCAGACTATATCAACTTCTTAAACGTACACTTTATTGATCTGAGCTAGTATTGTATACTTATATTGTCATTGACTTTATGAGGTTTCTACTCTCACAGAAAGAACATTCAAAGCTTGCTTTCATTTAATTTCTGCTACTGCAGTGGATGAATCCGTATTCTAGATCTGAGACAGTTGGCCTCAAAGGGCAGGAGGCCTGGACTGCAGCTATTACCCTTGAGGTCAGTCACATTGAGTATATCATCAAAACTGTGTGTCCAGGATGAGATGAAAGTACGGCAGTCTGAAGTAGAAGGAGCTGGGTTAATCTGTTTTTTTTTTTCTTTATTCTGATAAGCTGTTTTGAATTAGTCCAACTTAATGCTTTTATGCGAAGTAATTGAAGGAACTGTTTAGGTTTGACTGCTAGACTTGACATCCACCATGCGCCTCATGTATTTTAGCAACGTTATGTTTGCAGATGAATACTATGACCATCCCTTTTGGGCTGATAGGACGATGCTTCTCAGGCTTTCCAGGAAATGAAGAAGCTGTGAAAAGCGCCCTCATATCTGCAGCTTGTGTTGCAATGGGCTCATTACGAGAGTTTTTGACAAAGGCATGAATCGAGCTTTATATTGTTAGACAGCTGAGGGATCTAAATTCTCCTTACATAAAGCGGTCTTTGGGTTTCTTTTAAGACTAAGCACTCTATTGAATTATGATTGTTCGTCTATAATGCTGTCTCGAATTCTTGATGGCTTCCTCTTGAGCTGCTAACGGTGTCGATACTGGAAACTAATTTTGCTTCGGCTCACTGCGTTGACTGCTGTAGGTCGAAACAAGTCAAAGTTCTGAGGAGAAGTTGTCACTCCATATTCCTCTCCACCGTGTTCTTTCTGCAGTCATAAGTAAGCTCGTCATGTTGCCTTGGAGGGAGACTGGTCAAGGTTTTCTGGACAATTTGCAACCAGCTTTGACAGAAGCTGAGGTAGGACTACAGTCTTGAAATTTGACATCTGAGTTCATTCAGTAAATTTCGTGTGATGCATCCGTAACCTCAATATTTACAATTCTTCCTCGCTTGGACTGTACCTCAATATGTAACCTGAATTTGACTGATAATTTATTTGACAGTGTGTCTAGTTACTTTCAGGAATTGTTGAGGTCCAAATTCTTTGATTTCAATACAATGCTGCCTTTGATGTTGTGGGTTATTTAATCAGAATTTGACCGATGGTGTCGTCTTATTTAAACAGGTGCTAGCTTTAATGGATCATCCTCTTAGGGTGGTTGTATGGATGGCAGAGGTTCGCGCTCTTCATTCCATCTAATTTCTTTTGGTGAATAGTCTTTCTGCACGCATTGACATTTCCTCTAACAAAATTTGACATTTTCTAACGTATTATCGCTTGTGCAGATTCGTGCCCATATGTGGCAAAGAAGTTCTGAGGATTTCTCCCGCTTAGAACTTATTTACCGCGGAAGCATTTGGCATGATCAGTAAGTGAATTGTGGATTGAGTTTTCGAATATAATCTGTTGATTGTCCATCATAGCCGTTTTCAGGCATGCCCATGAGTGTTCATGTTCTTACCTCAACCTTCTGTATCGTGCGGCCGTGTCATCACATTGGATGATGTCTTACAAGTTTTATCTTGCTACAGGTCAATGGATATGGACATTTTGATGCTGCAATTTTGTTGTGTTGCCGTAGAAAACATGGGGCAATCCGTGATCTCGATGATGGCAAAAAAGTTTGGTGTAAGTTCTCTCTGTAAGTCCTTTGTTTCAGAGATGTGATACCTGAGTTTGCGATCAGAAAGCCATTTGTGTTGCTCGCGTACTTGATTCTAGTTAATTGCAAGGCATGAGTCAAGCGTGAGAGCGTTAGTTTAAGAAAAACTTAGCAATGGAGCAGAGCATAACGTATCCGCCATCCAGGCGCTAGAAGTCTTATGTTGTTAAAGTATACGCACTTCGGTTACATTTTTAGGGTGGCCTGAAAGAGTGGCCTTTTATGAGAAGGAACTGATAGTTGTCTCTAGTATGAGTCATCTCTATTAGAGATGCTTGCGTTTGCAACTTATTTCCTCGGGTACTGGCATCAAACGGAAGCCGTTAATGGATTGTCACTGTAAACCAGAGTCATACTTGCTCAGCGTAGACCTTCCCTAAACACGTACTAACATGAAGTCAAAAGGTCATGGCAGCTTCTTGACATGGTCACCATGCCTGTGTTGGATTCCGGAGGAGATAGTAGAGAGTCAACATTAGCCAAAATATCGATGCTACAAGACTTTTTGCGATTGCTTTTGCTGGTAAGTTGCCAATTCTTGACCTAGAAACGACCTAACTTGGAATTTGTTTTGTTTTCAATAGTTAGTGTATACAACCTTGTGCAGTTCTTCGTTATACAAGGAAAGAGAATCTTTGCACATTTTCTGTTTCTGTTTATTGTACACTGAGAAGTACACGCGAAGAAGTTCATGTCACACTGGAAAGTTCCATGTGTGTCAAGGATTCAAAACTAGTTTATATGTTAGTGAAAGAATTGGGGAGGGTCAGTAATATTACATGATGTTTTTCCAAAAAGTTCAAATTTATGTAAGGAGAGTAGTAAGATTGTTGCTTATGATTTGCTCTGTATCTTACATCAACTGAATGCATGAACTTTAGCTTAAATTTGTGTACCACCAACCTACCGAACAGAAGATATAGAATATGCACATGTTCCAGATAAACGCCTGTACTAAGATGTGGCCAAATGGGCCGTAAAACTGTAGTGTGTATTTCAGGTCTCTTTGAGAATATACGTAGTTGCTGCTTTGCTAATTCATCTTTCGTTCTGTAGATTATCCGAGAGCGCAGGAATACTGGGATGTTTGAGGTAATTTGTCATACCTTTTACCAAGCTCCTTCATAATTACATTGAGACTATCTATCATTAGATAGTCTCAGGGTAGATATTCATATCCGAGATGCATTACAACTGACCTAAAGCTGGCCCTGTACATGTGTAGAGAGAAAGTCTGAGGTATGATGTCATCCAATGGCTTTGCGTGCGGGATCAGACATATTCACAGGTAAATCCAAACTGTCTCCTTTGTTATTTATCCCAAGTTAGTGACAGATTAAAAGTCGAAGGGTAGAGTGAAGTGACTGTTGACCAGCCATTAGACCTCAAATATGAAGTCCGTATAAATTGTATTATCTTCCTCCCGCATGACCTTATGATGTAGATAGGGAAGGCTGCAGGCTGCTTGGTCTTTTCCCATTTAGAATCGCTATTTAGAATCGTTTTTATCCTACTTGTGTTACTTTACTGGCGAAAGTTGTACTAACAACTTTCGCCAGTAAAAATGATTAAAATGGTACGACTGTACCATTTTAATCAGTTTCAGATCATACAGTTGACATCTAACAGTTCTTATAGACGTCCTAAATTGCTGTAGATCGAACCTTGTCGTGAGCTGAAATATAAGTTCAGATATATGGCAAGTATATCTGAATTATTGAAGAGTTTATTCAGTGATTTAAAAAAATGTACGCTGGTTCATCTTCAAATGGACCTTATTCATTGTGAATTTCGCTCCATATGACTCTCTTCCTCGATTTGCAGCTTGCTTACACTTTGGGGGGAAACCTTATTGACCAAACGAGATTGAGCTCCGTACTGCAAGAAGTAGCAATCTATAATATTCCAAAGGTACGTCATGGGGATCCAACTTTTGCGTTTTCTTGTCTCAGCTTGCTTAGAAGGTGTTAGGGTAGTATGTATCAACTCTAATGGTATTCTTCACTCATCTCTGCTGATCGCTAAGTGAAGGAATCTTCATCTGCTGGCGTTGTCTCAAGAAGTTCACATCAAGTAGAATGGGTGGACTAGAACTAGTGGTCGTTCAGCGTTGAAAACACGTAAATAAAATCCAGCGGGAGGTGAATATTCACCACATTAATGTTTGGATGTTATTAGGTGCAAGAACGAGGGTTCTATCAGTTGAAACAGGAATGTTGGAAGGAGTTCGATCCACTGTTTGCTCACTTCTATGCTAATGATCTTGAAGAGGCCCAGGTATGTATACTTCTGTCGTTTGCTTAATACCTTAGACACGTTTTGCGTATACTTTCTGTTACCACCTGATATATACTATCTTCGGGTACCCATTGTACGCTCAGTATCCTTTGCCCGTCATATCCTGAAGACAGTCAACGAAAACCTTATTGAGATGTTCAGCGCGTGGTGAGATGCTTTTGTAAATTTTGAAACCCATGCATTCTTTGCTCCAAAATCTTAGATCAATAAATTTCCCTCACCGTCCTTTCAGGAACGTGCTATTAGTGTTGGAAAGCTTCCGCACTACTGGCGTCTTCAGCCTCCAAGAGAAGTCAAGCCACCATTCAACAGACTCATCAAGATATTGCATACGCAGGTCACAGTTTCTGTTTCCATTGCCCCTTACTGCAAGTGTGCTTGTGCTTAATCTTTGCGCACTTTAAAGACAGGTATCTGGATTGCCCAATGCAGTGGTTGGAGGAGGAAGAGGCCATTGCTTTGTGATTTGAAGAAGTCTACTTTGAGAATTAGTCTTGTAGAATGGCTAAGCTGATTTCATCTCTTTTTTCGTGGTTAGTTACATTGTGTATTATCCATGTACTCTTCTGAGTAGCGTACAACCTACTAGTAATCTAAATTTTTGTGGGTATGCAGGCGTGCCATCAGCTTACATGGAATGTGCTCCATAGTGTCACCAATCTCATCCAAGATGAAGCGACTGCGACATCTGCTGAAGCGCTTGGTGTTATGTCCCTTCAGATTCTAGAGATGGCTCTAGCTGATATCCGGTATGTACTCGATCATCAGCTGTATAAATAACTTCTGGAAGAGCCATAACTTGTTGTTTCTCTCTCTACGTTCTTTGCGATTTTTACGGATTTCGTGAATGACTGTAATAGGGATGGAGGGTTGACGCCTCAAAACGTGCCAATGACATCTCAAAGTTGGCAAGTACAATCTTCTTCGATGGTGCATTGCAGTGACATCTCCGACTTCATATATGCAAAGCCACACATCAGTTCTGTTTCGGGTGTCGTCGAGTGGAAGCGAAGAGATTCTACATCTAGCCACCCAAGTATATATGAGATGCTGATTAGTTTGCAGAGATATAAAGATTCATTTCGTGAGTATAATTATCTCTGGCATCTGTGCTTGGTCGTTATTTTTCCTAGTAGTCTCAGGTGAATTGTTCGTTATTCTTTACATAGCTGCAGTACCCTTACTAACAACTTTTGTTAGTGGTTCTTATGGTTGCTCCTTTATTTGTTAAATTGTACAGGTTTGGTAGACTCTGCAAATCACGTGATACAGTTACAGTGTTCCTACTCCATCACAAAATCTGGCTCCGACTCCTGTCGCTCACAAGTATGTCATCTGTGTGTCCGTTTGGTCTTATTTTGTGAGATTCCAAAACTCCTATTGGTGGTTCCTGTATGAATGAAGAGCATTGTCTCAATGATGGGATGTGTCTGGCAGGTTTTTGATGTGTACATTGATGACGAACGGAGGAAGTTAAAAAAGAAACGTCAGGAAGCGATTCTCGCAGATTTCAAAGCCAGGTGGGTCCACTTGTCAGATATTGGTTTCCTGCTTTCTTCTTGTAGCAACTTAATATTGGTCTCACCCCACAGAATATATGAGCCTTAACAGTAACGTAGGCTCGTTAATCTGAATATGATTGTATTTTAAATCGTGTACGTCTAGCAAGAATAGGAAAAAAGAACGTATTAATTGACATAAGTCGAGCAGCCACATTCAGCTCTGAAGACGCAATGAGCCAATACGTTGAAGGAATACTATAGCGCCGCCCTGTCCGTGATGTGTTACTGTAAAAAAATCATAGCTTATATCAGTAATGACGGTGTCTGAGTGCAGGCAAAAAGCTTTTCTCGATCAAGTGTACCATGAAGAGGATTCAAATGAGGTCAAAGCAAAAGAAGATGCAGGGACTCCTGTTTTTGAAGATAGCAAACCTCAAGAATTCAGCACAGCTGGAGGAGGTTCATCTTGGGCGGTTCCGGGAGACAAAACCCCTTCAAAGGATGCTGATCAAGAGAAGGAGCGACATGAATGTGCATTTTGTCGGAGTGAGGTATCACCTTTTTGATTTTTGAATGTGGACGAGGCTCACTTGCTTAAAACATTTGTTGGCTTACTTTTCCTTTATTTTGTAGGATCTTTAGTAGACACTGGACGATACTCTACATTCTTTCTCTAAAATATTTGGACAAAGTAGAGTTCTTATTTTTCCGTTTATGTATGTCCTGGTCAGGGACCTAGCTTGAACTACATTGTGGGTTTGATCAGTGTGATGGTGATGAGTCGCCAACAGGTTGGATTGCTCTTGTACAACGTTACAACTTGCCAAGCCTCATCCACAGTCGAGGCGAAGTTGTACGTAGCATCAAAGAAGTTACAAGTCTGCTGTCTGGTAACCATCAATCCGAAGGCAGTGATGGCAATGTACCCGGTTTGCTGACAGTTGTTACCGAATCTTCTCCGAATGATGCATCAGTATCAGGACCTCTCGACCTCCATCCAACTGAGCATGTTCGATGTTGTGGTCACCAGGTATGAACCAAGTAATTATTTGAGATTTTTTCTCTCGTATGTTGAAGTCTGACAAGTATCAACATGAATTGTGGTAACTGTTTTAGACAGCTTCGTAGACGTTGATCGTATAGAGATCATCGACGACTGCGGCAAGGAAATCAACTTACGCTTTATAAAATTGAATTTCGGCGTCTTATTCACTCTTGCTCGTTAAGGATTTGGATAAAAGCTGTTTGTGAAGGAATTTTGCTCCATGGCTATAAGCATCTTGCTATGGAGATGCTTCGTATTTTTCTGATGACTCAACTCGTAAATACGTGCAGATGCATCAGATGTGTTTTCAGCGTTATGCTGACTCTCTTCTGAAAAGACATTATGCTAAAAGTACTTACGAAGGTGAGTCCATGTCTCTGATATTGTATGTTCACATGGAAATGTCATTGAGAAAGGACAACGAGCACATTTAAGAAAACATGAAGTTGTTACTGTATAAACAGCGACTTGCGTTGATGCTTGCACCTGATTTGAATCTGTAGAAAGTTTGAACGGTCCGTCACCCTCATTGATGGTTCGCTGAATTCCTCTCCTTGGACGACATGATCTTTTTCTTTGCGCAATCGTTTTTTCCTCGGGTTCTGTTGATTGATCTACGCATTGCGAGCCCATAATGTGATTTTGGGTTCACCAAGTATAATATTACTCATCTTGGAAGTGACGCCATACTGAAGCTATTTCGAGCCATGTCGGCTGGATAAATTCAGGAAAGGGCATCATCGACCTAGGAAAGATGGACTTTCTTTGTCCTTTCTGTCGGCGTTTAGCCAATGTACTCCTTCCAGATGTGAACAAGGTTGTTCCTTGGGCGAGATTGGAGACCAAACAAGAACTGCATAAGAAAGAAGCTCTTCAAGATAAAGAGAACCAGACGGATGAAGAGTTGGCTTATTTCAGTTTGGAGGGTCTTATCCCTCATGGCTCGAGTGAGCACTTTGAGGACATGCAATATTGGAAACATTATTGGAGCACACATCAAGATCTAGCTGAATCTATAAGAATCTTTGCTGCACAGGTAATCAACATAAGCCGAAGTCTTCTGAGAGTCAAGAGGGCTTAACAAAGTGGCAATTGTATATTTCACTTACACGACGCAAACAATCCCGTTCTATTCTGGTTTGGATATGGACTTGAATTCTGCAATTTTATTGATTGCAGAGTTTAAGAGTAAGGAAGAAATTTCTCCGAGAACCTCCAGACTTGGATGGTCTTCCGCTTTGTCAGGTCAGATACTCTGATGATCTAATTAGTATCAAAACCTATGTGGGTTGCAAATACGCCCCTCTATTGTAGTACTCGTTTTGCTCAATTCCAGTTTCTGCTTACAAGTTCAGCGACTTAATTGTGCATGGGCTCCTTATTTTTTGTAAAAATCGTTCATGTAGTGAAAGAGGACAGATCGTTTTGGTGAACTTTTTTGGTAGGTCTCTAACCTGCCTACTATCGGAGTGTGGGTGGGTGAAATATCTTCTCACATTCTTCTGTACAGATACTGTGGGAAACGCTCGCCGAAAACATCATACATTGTGAAGTTGAAACCCGGGAAGTGGTTACAGTGAAAGATATAGCAGCGTCTTCCTCGTCTTCGGCCTCTGCTTCTCCTGCGGAAAACCTATCTTGGAGAGGTGACGCTGCACACTGGTTAGGTCTTACGGAGCTTGGCAAGTTGGCGATGCTAACGAATACAATGCCTTGTGAAGGTACACACAACTAGTACTTCGTTCAGTTTATTAAAATGCAAATTTTCGTTTTGGTCGATACATTCTTTCTGCAATCAACTTCTGCGTGTTAAATGTCATACTGCAATAGCAGCTGCTGTTTAGAGGTTACCCTCATCAGATATATACCTGATGAGGAATCAGAATTTTCTGTTTCTTTACACCGTAGTAAAGCGGTTGCTGAGAACCATAAAGTCGGTACTTCGGTGTCTGTCCTGGGGATTCCGATCTAATTTCATCCGTACAATCCCTTTTATTGTACCAGGAAAGCAGAAAAAAATGCACCTTCTTCTTCAGTGGCTTGGATTTGATGAAAATGTGATCAAACAACGTTTTGAAGATGATATCGAAACTCCAGCGAATACAACGCAGGTTGACTCTTTGTCAGGGAGCGCGGTTGGTGATATCAGTCAGCACAATCAAAGTGGGGAAGAAGTCATTGAAAAGGCCGAGTCAATGGTAATGGAGACAGCAAACGAGAAGAGTACCGACGAGTCTCGGTCGCCCCGAGGCCATAAGAATTATTGGGAAAGTGGCAGCGACGATTACAGATCTAAGAGAAACAGAGCTCGTTTCAAATTTGCCGGTGCAGACGACAATGAAGTGGGCTGGAGACTGCAGAAAAAACATAATCTAGGAAAAGTTTTGGAATCGTCAGAACCCATGGACATTGGATGGCTGTGGAGCAACTCAAAAGCCTCGAAAAGTGGATCTCTAGCATCAGGGGATCCCTTTGAGCTTCTAATTATGCTCCTGGTTGTAAGTTTTCAAAACTTCGTATATGCTGATACTTTCTTTTTCCTTTTCTGTTCTGTTTTCGTTTCTGCATTGAATAATTTTGGGGATGACTCGAGTAATTAACGAAGTTGGGTCTTTTGCAGACATTTGAAGGTTGGCCTACATTCCAAGATTTGATGGCAATGGTAAGGGTGGCATATGTTCTTGCTGCTACAAAAGCTTCTGTCGCTTTTAACAAGCTGAGCGGGGAAGATGAGAACAAGTTGGTTGCCATGGACAAGGCAAAGATTGAAGTATTGCAGGCTGCCTGTCTACCGTTTCTACGGAGAGTTGCCTTAATGGTTAGTACAGTCATACTATGGGACACATTTTGTCTGACACATTGAGTGTTCAAGTTGGATACTACTTGCACCGTCTGCATATTCCTTATATTTGTTGTTGGCCTTCGAGCAGCTACTCAGTAGTCTGAATGAAAAAGTTGGGGAAGCTTTCAGTATCTTAATCTTAACTTTATGTCTTCTAGCATGTTAAATCCTTTTCGTGTGCGGAGGTTCTTCATAGTCTTTCGTTGAAGCTATTTTGCTAATTTGAATTTTTAGGAATCTCATGCTGTATTTGCGTTTTTGGGATGTCTTCTATTTAATCTTTTCTGTACTGGCAGGTCCAAATAATTGCGCGAAAGGAAACCCGGGAGCTAGCTAATGGACAAGGTAACGGAACGAAAAATTGACGTAAATCAGTCCAATGTTCGTGAAAAAACTCAACTATGGATCTTACATTTGGTTACTGATTCGACTCAATGCATCGATGGCAGTCGTAAATTTTCAACTGAAAAATCTTAATGGTCGCTAGACATCTTTCTTTATTGAAGGATGTCGTACCGTGCCGGAGTATTTTTTACGATTTCCTGTAAGGAAGTGTTAGATGAGGACAGACTCTTATGTTTCTCAATTAGTTGTCGTTGAGTGCATTTAAGGCTAATATGGGTTGGAGTGCTAGACTGCAAGAAGAGACACATTCATGTTTTCATTAGTCTCCAATAGAGCAATCAAGTCCAGAGTCTTGTTGGACCTCGAGGGAAATAGCCTCATATCGGCATTAAAGCTTTGTATCTAGCTGTATATATCTTCAGACGATAATTACATGGCACTATCGCATTCTTTTCTAAATCAGTCATATGAAGATGATGCACTATTCCACAAGAAATCCAAGCTCCTGCAACAAAATGGGCATGCCTTACTACTCTGCACCATGTGACTTGGTTCATGTTGTCGATCTCTGACCTGAAAACACTAGATCAAGTATATGTGGTGACAGCTTTGTTTTGATTTCTTCCCATGTGGTCAACATTGAACTTTCAGCAATAGAATGGATGGAATCTGAGTGCTTGCAACAATGGTTGGATCTCCCGAAGATTCAAGAAGCTGTTGAACTCGGCATGCAAGGTACAAAATTATCACATTCTTTACTTTTATACAAATATACCTGTCAGCATAGTCTCTTTGGTTTCAATAACTAATCATGTTGTATATCTCTTTGAAGTCGTCCAGTCGACCTGTGTTTTAATATAAGATACACCAATTTCTGCTGACAGGTATACATGGGGTGAAAATGCAACAGCTTTTTCAAAACAACCAGGTAGGTTTACATGGTTCCTGTTTCGTGACTGTTTAAGATTTGTCGTGTAAATCTTCTAAAAACTTAAACCTAATCTACCCGCACGGGAGTTTCAAGAGTAAGGATCTGTTCCTTTCTCATTTTGACTATAGCAGGACTCTAATCTGTCTAGCTCTTGGGGACACAATTAAGTCCTGAACTTGTCAGTAATGTAGCAATTTATTCCTTGGCGAGTAGCTGGCACGTTTTTGGGAAGCCATTCCAAAAGTGGAGCCACTGTTTCACCCCTAGTAAAGTCTTTGGATCAAGCCCAGGAGCTGATTAGTTTTGTAAATGAGAAGAATACTTTGCGATCTTGTGGTTCTTTACATATTCTTTCTTCATAATTTGCCTGTAGATAGTCCTGCCCCAACTGATATATGATTCAAGGAATTTTCTAACAATAAGTCTTTGTAATTTTCGCTCACATGCCTTATTCTCAAGGGGCTAATACTCTACTTGTTGTCTTCTTACGTCTTCCAGCCCGCACCATTGCTATATAAAGTTCCTCGACAGGCACTACTTACAAAGCTACCCGAAGTTTTCCAGGTTAGAATCTTGATGCATTTATCTTCTTTTTGACTTTATGGAAGGATTTGTGTTGGAGTTTATATGTTTTTTTAAACCATAGAATGCATCTGCTAGTGAGTCACATCAATGTGAGCTTAACTGCTGTATGAACTATTAGTATGCTTCGAAGGTTAAAGTCTTTGATCTGATCATATTTATTAACTTTTCACAGGAGCTTGTGCTACAAAATCTGAAGGTAGCTTGCTTAAATTGCCACAAAACACCACAGTAAGTTCAAAACCTGCAACGTAGATCTTGACGGTCATTGAACGTTAGCAATTAATGAGCAAACTTGCAGCGTTAAAGAGCTTTTGTTTGAGTGATTTGTTTCTAGTGAATCTTAAAATATCTCCACTCGCTCACAAAAGCTTGAATGTTGCCTACCTCGCAGCGAACCAGCAATATGTCTTGTTTGTGGGAATCTCTTCTGCTGCGGAACAGATTGTTGTAACATTGATGGCATGGGTGAATGTTACCGTCACGCAGATAAAGGTACCAGTTATCCTGCTTTTATTACCACGGTGCAGCCAGGTCGCGAGGTCTATGTTTTTCAGGCTATGACTAGAAAATATGAATGAGTAGAGGTATTATACTTTTGTACTGACTTACGTGTGAACTTCTTCTATCTCACTAAGTTTCTAGCGATTTATAGCCCTAACTTGACAAAATTTGGGTGCAATGTTCAGAGAGCGCAGGTGTTGGAATATATTTACTGATACGCTCAACACAGCTTGTTCTCCTTCGCAGCAACCGCGTTTGCATGGCTCCCTCTCTATACCTGGATCTACATGGAGAGGTTGGATTTCTTCCTTATGCTCTATGGATCAGATTATTGTACTCTTAGAGGACCCACCTGCTATACTAAAAGGTAGTTTCAGCTCTTCCGCCTCCCTCATGACTGAGTTAAGCAGTCTGGTGCTTCCAGCACCCCTCAGAGAGGTCGGAGATTTGTATTCTTGAAGCTATGAAAATAATACTAATAAGTTTTCAAAACAAGGCTTTGAATTTTTTCCGCCATATGTACATTAGTCAAACACGTGGCAAGCAACGGATGAGGCATAGAATATGATTGTTCACTTCGTTTTTTCGAAAATTTATGTGTCAGATTTTAACGTGTTTTTTGTATTCCAGTTAGATGTTCTCCCACCGAAGTAAATAGCAATTTGACTCGGAATGGTCCTTTTGCAGGAAGATGCATACTTGAAAAGAGGGCATCCATTGCATCTTTGTCACCTTCGTTTGAATGAGGTATTATTATACTCCTGCCTTTTCCACGATTTGCGAGGTTGGACCTTGCTTTAAGGACTGGCGTGGTTGCAATATGAAATGCATAATTATTTTGCGTCGTCAAACTAGCTACTAGCAACTTGCGAAGACTTGGTCCCATTCACTACGGCTAATGTACTGGTAGGCATGTTTCAGTAGTGTGTGGGTTGCTGTGAATCTGTTTGATGACTTTCTTTACACTTTTTGGATTTGCAGGTTAGGCGACTGTGGTTAACAGCGTCCTTTGACCACGAAACTCATATTCTACATTCATCTCAAATTGGAGGCAGAGTCCTATAAAATCTTTTTTAAGGATGTATGTATTGCTTGTATAAACAGTCAGTAGAATGTTAAATAGACAAGGGTGAACTACGTGGATGTACTGCGGCCCGATCTAGCCACGTGGAGACGTCAATTGGAGGGCCTAGTAACCTGGAACACACACAACTTTAGTAAATTAGAAGTGCACACTGAATGGGAGGAGGTTTTCTGTGAAAAGGTGGTGGTTCTGGTACTGCCTTCAAGAAACCATTTTAGTAAAGCCCTCCAATCCCACTTCAATACATGTAAGCAGAAATTATTATTTGGAGCACCAAATGCTCCTTTGGAATAAGACTCCGGATCATCCTCAAATGCTTTTGACAATAATCAATGTACGGAGTGATTTTCATCCTTCACACGGATGGAACGATGTGTTCCAAATTCCGCGAGATTATGCTCTGATGTATGAAATCCCGCCTTTGAACATTGGAATGCTTCGATGTGAAGTTTGTGAGGGTTCCAGCTTATTAGTTGGCCTATGTTCCTGTTCCTAAGTATAGTTCTAAAACAATGCCCGCTTTATTACGAAACGAATCCAGAAGAATTCGTATCACAATCCAGAAGCAACAAAATATATTTAGTTCATCTTCGTTTAGAGTCATGGTTTGAATTTATAACTGCAGTAGGTATAATGAAATTTACTACCACCATGATTGTAATGAAGCAACCGGATCTTAATCTAAGTAACCTGATCTGATCTGTGTTAATTAAAGTATATCTTTTTCGGTGACCTCCGAAGTCTTGTTTTGGGATATGTCAAAGCATTGATCCATACGATAAACCAATGCTAAAAAAATGTGAATAAGTAATTTTGGAATTATTTTGGATTAAAATAGTTGAGGTAAACGATTTCGTGAAACATATTTACAAAGTGATACACAAAGTCAGCGAAAATGTTTAAATCAAGAAAAAGAGCATGTAGAGTAGAGATTTTATTTTTCAGGTACACTATCATGTTAGGTTATCTATAACACATATATCTTTTGAAGAAACATAAAAATTTAATTTTCAAATTTTTTTTTTATGATATTGAAATGTGTTGATGAAATATCAAATGAATTAAAATTTTAGTTATATATAAAAAAATATCATGTATTTCATGTGTCATGATTGAAAAAATCAAATAAATTCATCAATTAACAATATATATCTATTCTACATCTTTGATAATTGATTATGAGAAATTTGAAATAGAAAAGATATATAAATATATACATGAAAATACACAAATATTCCAAAATAGATAAATTGATTCGATGAAAAGTATATTCATCATATAAATCAATTGAAGATCCAACTAAAAATCTAGTTAATTAATCTTTGATAGTTTTAAAATTTGAACGAGATTGGACGTTATGTCTTACACGTAGATTAGTTAGTTGAAACCAAATTGCATAATTTTTGAATGTTTGTGTTAGAATCTTTTATCTTGAAGTTTATCCGTTTCATAAAAACATACAAGATGTTTGATAACTATTTGCGATAAAACTTTCATCAAGAGCGTTAAACAACAAAATATAGTTGTCATATTCAGCCACTTGTTTCATAAGCAAAGATTTTCGGTGCAGTATGACAATAATCACAACTTGCTATTGAAGAAACTTGCGAAGTGGAAGATTTTGTCCTCAACGATTTGACTTAATCTATAGCCTTAAGCTTGACTTTCACTGGTTTCGTCTAAAGCAGATAATCATCACGTCTATTATAGTTTACAATCTCATATCCTGCTAAATCATACTTCGTGACCGTGATTTCACTTTGCTGAACACTTGAAATTATCATTTAGCAAATGATTATTTTGTTCACTCATCTGTAGTTCTCTAGACTTGTGACTTGAGTTTCCAACTTAGTCTTAATACTTCGATTAAAAAACTTTACAAATTTATCAAAAAAATCCTACGGCGCAATACAAAAACAAATCTTGTCAACTACTGATACTACTTAGCTGGAAGACTTGGTACTCAACTAGAGCAGATAGTTATCACGTCTATTATAGTTTACAATCTCATATCTGGTAAGTCATACTTAGTTACCGTGATTGCATTTTGCAAAACACTTGAAATTCTCATTTGAGCAAATGACTTTTTTGTTCACTCATGTGTTGTTCTTTTGACTTCTCGATTGACTTGAGTCTCCAACTCAGTCTTAATACTTTGATCAAAAAACTTTACAAATTTATCAAAAATACCGATGATGCAATACAAATACAAATCTTGTCAACTACTGATACTCAATTTTTGTGGTCATTGGACGGCACCAATTTGTGCCAAGTACTCTTACTTGGTTGTCTAACTAGTTGAAAGACTATTTAACTCAACTTATTTCTTACAATCAAAACTATTCATGTTTCTACTTTCTTACTTAATCTGAATCCGATGTCAACAAAACAATACTAGACAAAGCATTTCATTTTATCTCGTCAGTTCAAATTTCTTCTCCTACAAAAATCAGTGGAATAGTAATCATGATACAATATATTAAGATAGATTGTAATCTTAATAGATTTCATTTTTTAACGTATTGGATTTTTGCAATTACTTTCATGTACAATGGGTAAAAACAACTTGTGGAATGTCAATGTTTCACTAAACAACAATCTATTGTTGTTTAATGAAACAACGTTTACAGTTTCTATATTTTGAGTTGACATTAGTTTCACATATGAAAAATATTTATTTTCAATATGTTAAACTTAAAAAAATTAAACGTTTCCATATATTTAACAATTATTTTTTTTGTTATGAACATCATTGATTATTCTTCGTGCTTGGATCCATTTTCGCCTACCACTAGAATTTAACTTATTATGGATTCTTGATTGAGCTTGTGATGAAGTACATTTACTTATTGGAAGTTGAAAAACAATGGATGGTGGAAAACTTTGTCAAAAGATTGTAATAATAGATATATACCAGAATGGAGCATAATGATATAGATCCGATTCCACTAGGACAAAAACAATACTGGAGATACAAATAATGTCACTTTTAACATTCTACTGACGAGTTTTACTTCTTAGGCACATGTTACTCCCAGAAGCATTTAGAAGTGTTAATTCAAAGACGATACAAATGCAAGGTGTAATCACATCAAATTCCTGAAATACATCCAACAACATAGAAATCGCAAGCGAATCTGCACTTGATATTAAGGGTGGAAACTTTCCAAGATTACGATCAGCCTGCTACACTGAGCAATCAATCTACATGTTTGCTTAAATCCTGAGCTACACTATGCACCACTTAGAATACTTGCGATGGCTACTCTACTTTAGATGCGGTATCTTCGACAAACCGAAGCAACTCTCGCACTATGATAAAACGCACAACTCACGAACGTGCGGAGGAATGCAGATTTAAGACTGATTACTGACTAATGAAAAAGCCCCCCAAGTCAAATCCTTTGACCATTTTATTCACAACGAACACCCGTAGGCATCACCCGCAAGCTGCAAGCCTCCATAAGGTGCGACGTCCATGAACAAAGCAGTTGCCACATCTGCAAAGTTCATGTGTAATCCTATACTACGCAAAACTGTTGTGAGCTTTGATCCTAAATTCTCACTAGTCTCTTCCAAATCAGATATGAAAGAACTAACTTTTTTACCTAATTGTCGATGTCATACAACCTTGCTAGCTTTCAATACTTTCAATCTATGCTCCAACGAATCTAATTTCATTCACTTTCTGGTTTGGAATTCCAAATCCACATAACCGCAAAGACATCGGTATACTCTATCTCGCAAACCAACATCTGTCTGCTATTCCAAAATGTCTGATGGTCGCCTCTATCTCCACCAATTTTGCCTGAGCCGCGACCAACTGCTCCTTAACTTCCGATAGTTGAGATCGCCACATGCTACAATTTGCATCCAACTCTGTTCCGTGCTCCATCTTCGAAGAATTGGCAGCCTCCCTAATAGCTAATCAATTCTCTCAACGAGCTAATTTGGCAACCACAAACTACTCCTATGCCGCCAGATTTGCTGTCAGCTCCTCCGCACACTGAAATTCTCTCAAAAACATTGCTCGAGACTCCTCCAATCCTTCTCAAAGTTCTTCCTTCGCCTTCTGAATTGCACAGACTTCACTCTGAAGACCCTTGCACTCAAATTACTTTTGTACGAAGGCTCCTCTCAGCAACTAACTCTTGCCAAAGTCATTCGCACTCCAACTACTTCGCACAAAGTTGATGTTCTCACTCCTGCAAGACAACTATCATGGTCGCACACTCGGAAGTTAAGCTTGAAACTCATTTTGTCATCCCGGTAGTTGCTGCCACCTTCGCATTTGTCTGTCTGCGCACTAGCTCCACATAGAATACCGCCAAAAACGTTGACACCAAGTACTTCACTTGCTTCCTATCTAAGTATCTTACTAACGAAACTATCCTATCATTCAAAAGATCCAACGAACTAAACTCTGACAACTTTGGGTCGCAGGCTCAAGGCCCTTCGCCATGAACGAATTCAACTGTCTCGGAAGATTTTTGACACGAAGTCAACGTCGGTTGCTCCGGAACCGTCTTACCAACTTCTGCCGCAAACTGCTCCGAAGATTCTTCGCCCGAAGGAGAAACCTCCGCCAAATTCTCAAAATCCTTGTGCACGTCCAAAGATGTTTCGCCCAAAGGTCGAAGATCTTTGCCCGAAGTCACTGTTGGTTGACTCGAAAGCCGAAGGCGTTGATCCGAAGTCTACGTCTCGGTCCCATCTTCTCCCTCTTCGTCTTACGTCAACGACTTCTCCATAGGCACATCCAAAGATCGCCACTTCAAAGTCCAAAGATCTTCTATCAAAGGCCATTCGTCTTCCGTTCCTGCAATCTGCACTCTCACTACAGTCCAATTATCTGAAGACAATTGAGTTTGCATCATTGACTCGCTGCATTCTGCACTGTCCACTACTTACTTTTGTTTGCGTCGTGTCTTCACCTTATTGCGAGCATGAGTATTCGTCATCGTCATCCTCGCAGGTGCTGGTCTTTTCGTCCGCAATCCGCTACGTCGACCAACAACTTGCGAAGCCGAAGGCGTCTACAATCTTCTTCGCCTCTTCACAGGTCGTTCCTCAACAACGTCATCGGACATGTCAATTTCGGTCGAAGGCTCCGCAGTTTCAATCTCATCATGTTACTGACAACTTTGTTTCCTCCCATAGCTCCTTCTTACTCTTATCCAACAATTTCTCTCTCGAGCGGGAATTTTTGATTTTAATCCTCCGTCAACAATCCCATACCTCGATAGAAATTGATGAAGAACAGGGATATATGAATCAATGATCCCTCAAACCTGTCTTTGACATTCTCGTCGTTAACACTT